GTACTGCTGTTCCCTTGCGCATTGAATTCTGAGGCCATTGCTGTATTAAACTGACCGTTCGAGATAATTGATCAAAAGATTTTCAGAGGCAGAAAGTCGAAAAATCAGATGTCGAGATCTGAATATCGAAATCTCAGATTTCGATAAAGGAGGCCCGGTTTCGAGATTTGAGCTCGAGATTAGAGATCTCGAGATTAAGGATCTCGAGATTTCAAATTTCGAGAAGAAGATCTCGAGATTTGAAATGTCGAGAAGTTAAAACTCGAAATCTTAATTCTGAGAAGTCAAATGTCGAGACCAGATGTCGAAGCCTTAACTCGAAATCTTGATCTCGAAATCCTAGATGTCGAAATCCTCAATGTCGAAATCCTGCAAACTGTAAAAATCAGATAAGCAAAATCTGAAGGTAGTTTCCTGTAGAGTAGAATGTCGAGATCCTCAGGTAAATTTTTCAGCTCGAAAAACGTAGCAGAACCTGTGAAAAATCAAGATGTCGACAAGGCCTACTCGAGATATCTCGAGTACAGAATAAGCGTAAAACGAAATCTGAAGTATACCCCTTGATCGCTTTGAAAAGATGATTCTAAGGGTGTAACTTTTACAACTTTTGAACAAGAAACAAAATTACAGAGTGAAATATCGACAGTAAGAACAACGTAAAGAAAAACAGAGTCTTCTGCAGGCGTTCTTCTGATCGGCTCTCGATCTGCTCTGATACCAATTGATAGTCCTTGTTTCTGTAACAGCAATGAATAACGATCTAACAACAAAGATTAAACGTAAGGATGAACACAAATTGAATCAATGTAAACCCCTCTTTGATAGACCGTGAACTCGTACAACACAAAGATATGCGCGTAAGGCTATGAAGAATAAGTACGACGTTAACCTAATCCTAAACCCTCGGCTCCCTTTTTATAGGCGAGGTTTAGGTTAGGCGTACAAGGCTTTTAGCCTGCTTATATGGGCCTAACACTTGGCCCAAGTTCTATCTAATTCATGCACTAATTAAATACAAGGATTAATAATAAAGCTAATCTATGACAAACTTGATTCACAATTAAAATATCTCCAACATTAATAAATAGTCAAATTAACTAGTGAATTAACTAGTTTTGTGTACTACCTATTTTTTTTTACTAACAATCAAATTAATATAGTTTAACTTTAACTATAATGAGAATTAACTAGTTTTTTAAACTAGAGTCAAAGGTAGCAAGTAATAAAAAATTGTAATAAAGTAATTAACTACTTTAATGAAAAATTAAACAATTCGTGTAAAAACTAATTAACTAATCAACTAGTTTTTTGTACTACCTATTTTTTTTACTAACAATCAAATTATTATAGTTTAACTATAATGAGAATTAACTAGTTTTTTTTCAAGTAATGTTAATACAAAATTAAACAAGTGTAAATAATAGAATGATTTCGTACCTCTTTCAGACTTTCGGTCTTTCGGATGGGAGTAATAGAATGACTTCAAATTAATTAGATATAATTCCAACTATATTAATAGATATAATAAATGTATAAGTAATATATAATTAGATAAGAAATATAAGTAATATAATGTATGTATTTATAAATTATAAGTAGATAATTAATATAAAGTAGATATATAAATATAATATATTGGAGAATAAGAGAATTTGAGAAGATGAAGATAATTAGAGAGTAGAGAGTTAAGAGTAGGATTTATGAAGAATTGGAGAAGAGATATGAAAAAATGTTTAAGATTATGAGTATTTATAGGGTTTTTTTTACCCCACCCCCAAACCGCCCGGACCCCCCTGCAGCCCACCCAACGGTCATTTTTGGCCCAAATAAAATAAAAAAAATTAAAAAAATAGTCATTGTGACCCAGACCCAGGCCTGACCCGGCCGGGTCACCTTTTGCAAGAACCAAGCCCGCCCCCGCTTCCCCCACCGGTTCGGGTCTACACCCGGTCCCGGACCGCCAGACCAGGCTGGTCCCGGGCCCACACAGTAGCGGGCCGGGCCGGGTCACAGACCGAGTGGCCCGAATCGAATCCAACCCTACCTCTTCGGCTTAGGAATCGACTCGGGCCGGTTCGGGCCTGGGCCTGGCCGGGCCTCGGTTCTAGGAAGGCAGGCCCGGAACCGGCCCGGATAACCCCGGGTCCGGTTCGGTTCGGGTCACCTGCCCGGTTCACGGGCCGGGCCGCCCGGCGGGCCGGGCCTATTTAAATTTTTTTTTTAATTATTATATAATTAGAATAAATCTTATTACAATTACAATATATTATATTCGAATTGAAGTATATTTATTTCAAATAAGAAGTACAATTGAGAATTAGGATGAATTTAAAAAATGTAATACATTTTGTAATAAAAAATCAATCGGACTCTCCGCCTTCGGTTGTTTCCTCCATAAAGTGGCGGGAGGGAGTGATGGTAATTTCTTGAGTTCTTCGTTGGGCTTTCAACCAATCGTGAAAGCAAACTAGTGTCTCAAGAGAGCTCGGGCTCAACCTCGTTCTAAAATCGGTTAGGACGTTGCCGGCCGCACTGAATTCTTGTTCCACGGCAACGGTTGATATCGGCATTGCTAGTACTTGCTTAGCCATCTTTGATAAAATCGGGAATGTTCTTTCATTTTCCTTCCACCACTTAAGAACGTCAAAGTCATCACCAATTTCATAATCAACATTCAATGTTAGATACAAAGAAAGCTCGTTACCTGAGCTTTGTTCAGTAGCGGGAGTTGCTCTACTTTTTTTCAAAAGAGAACCAAAAGCGGATTTTAAAAGTGATTTTCCTTTAGATGAAGAAGATGTTCGTTGCATGGGAGGGGGTGCATTACCATATTGTGCATGAAATTCATTATACAATTGATGAAATAAATTACTAACCTCGTTGAATTCTTGTTTAGGGTCGATGGGATTATCATCGAACTCTTGAGTTGGAAAAAAAGAAGCATAATAGTAATCTATACAATTTGCCAAGTAAGGAAGTTTATAACGAGGATCAAGAACAAATGCAATACCATATATATGCGGAATATGTGAATAATATTTTAAAAATTTGTCGGGAATTGTTGTTCTTGTGCAAAACGTGGATCATTTTGGGACAATAGGTGTTGTAGTTCCTCGTCGGACATCATCATACCATCTCGCCGTTGGTAATCCGTTTCAAAATCATCTCGACTTTGAAAAGAAGACTCGGCCCGCGCTTTACCTTTGCCTTTGCGTGAAGTAGATCGAGTCGATGCAATCTCCCTCTTGCGGTTGCGTTGGAGATTACCCACATCTACAGAATGTCTACCTCGCTCCATATTTAAAATTGAACAAATATTAGCACTTAACTAATATGAGAAATGTAAAAATTAACTAGTTTTGTTATTTTAATGAGATATGTAGCAATTAACTAATATGAGAAATGTAAAAATTAACTAGTTTTTTTTACTTTAATGAGATATGTAGCAATTAACTAATATGAGAAATGTAAAATTGTAGCAATTAACTAATTAACTAATATGAGAAATGTAAAAATGTAGCAATTAACTAATTAACTAATATGAGAAATGCACAAATGTAGCAATTAACTAATATGAGAAATGTAAAAATATAGCAATTAACTAATTAACTAATATGACAAATGTAAAAATGTAGCAATTAACTAATTAACTAATATGAGAAATGTAAAAATGTAGCAATTAACTAATTAACTAATATGAGAAATGTACAAATGTAGCAATTAACTAATATGAGAAATGTAAAAATATAGCAATTAACTAATTAACTAATATGAGAAATGTAAAAATGTAGCAATTAACTAATTAACTAATATGAGAAATGTAAAAATGTAGCAATTAACTAATATGAGAAATGTAAAAATATAGCAATTAACTAATTAACTAATATGAGAAATGTAAAAATGTAGCAATTAACTAATTAACTAATATGAGAAATGTAAAAATGTAGCAATTAACTAATTAACTAATATGAGAAATGTACAAATGTAGCAATTAACTAATATGAGAAATGTAAAAATGTAGCAATTAACTAATATGAGAAATGTAACAATTAAGTAGTTTAACTAATATTAATATGACAAATGAAACAATTAACTTTAACTACTTTAACTAATATTAATATGAAAAATGAAACAATTAAGTAATTAAATAGATAAACGAGAAGTGTATATATAAATCAAATGTATAACTATATATAGTATATATAAATATATAATGTGTAAATATATTATAAGTAATATATAATATAATGTATAACTATATTCTAAGTAATATATAATATAATGTATAACTATATATAGTATATATAAATATATAATGTGTAAATATATTATAAGTAATATATAATATATATGTATAACAATGTATAGTATATTATATAATGCGTAAAGAATTATAATATGAATGTGTATAAGTATATATTTATAAGTAGATAATTAATATTATAATATATAAGTAGATATAATAATTATATAAATTATATATATGTAGAAAGAATTTGGAGAAGATGAAGAATGAAGATGATTGAATATGAGAGATTAAGAGAATAGAGAATTTAGATTTTAGAGAGTAGAAAGAGTTGTAGGTGTAAAAAATGTATAGAAAATAGGAGTATAAATAGGTTTTTTTTGTATACCCCACCCCCACCCCCCCTAACCCCCCAGACCCCCCCCCCCTCCTATGCTCCCAACGGCTATAGAGCCGTTTGGGAGGTCTCCCAACGGCTAGTAGAGCCTTCAAATTTTTTAAAAAAGTTTTTTTTTTTGTGACCGTTGAGGCCCGGACCGGGCCCGGCCGGGCCGGGCCGGTTCACCAACTTATAAGCCCGGGCCCGAACCGCTACATGACCGGGCCGGGTGGCCCGAACCGTGACCTAACCAACGAACCGGGCCGGTCCGGGCCCGCACAGTAGCGGGCCGGTCCGGTTCCGGGCCGGTTGGCCCGGCCCGAGTCCACCACTACTTCGGCTCTTCCTAATTTATTACTTTGAGATTACAACTAATTATACACAAGAAAAATGATCACTTTCTTATATAAAACAAACTAATTACAACCGTGCTATAGGTACCCAATTTGTACCCCAATTTGTACCCCAGGTGGCTCACAAAAGCCCACTTTAATAAATGAATTGCTCCACTTTAATGAGCTGCCTTTGTGAGCCACAAAAATAAGGTGGAGTACAAATTGGGGTGCAAATTGAGGTACCTTTGCCATTTTTGAACTAATTATACACAAGAAAAATGATCACTTTCTTATATAAAAGATGCAGAACCAAAATGCTAAAAACATCAATGGATTAAAACAGAGGGAGTATCAAATAATTCGCCTTGCCCCAATGATTTTGGGCTCTTCTACGGCTTCTAATCCTTTGCATCACACTGTCTTCATTACGGAATTTCTCGACTCTGCTTTCACACTATAAAGTACAAATAATAGAATCCATATACATCGTAAAAACTAGAACTAAATCTGCCCTACGCCAAAATGAAGAATTGGCCGGTCAATTGTAAAAACAGCATAATAGCTTTGCAGCTGCTTACATGCTGCCAGTATTGAAGTATAGGGACAATATAATTTTCTAACTCAGTACAGGTGTAGGTAACTACCATGTAATCAAGTCGAAGTTTATGTTTAGCAGTTATCTCATAGTCAAGTGATTCACTTCATGCCTTGGAATCAAAACAGATAGTTTCATAGTAGCGGAGCAGCATTTTCCATCCCCTCCATTGATTTCCAAATAACATGGTCAATTTTATCACAGAAGTTCATGTAGAACTGCAAAGCAAACTCAACATTTAACATAGGCATGTTCTTCCTTCAAAAATAAATAAATAAATAAATAAACTTTTAAGTCCAACAAGACAAATTTCTCCATCATCATCAAATCCCCAGTGCCGCAAAAGAAGACAAATTTCTCCAACAACAAGAACAACATCCAAGCCTTGATCCCAAAAGAATTTGGGGAAGGAAGACAAAGAAATTCTAAATTAAAGAAATTCCAAAGTCAATGGTTGAAGATCAAAAGTAAAGCAAGCTAACCCTATGATATTCAAGTGTGTCCCCAGCTGCCTTACGGACATCCACCATATGCAGAAATGGGGCAACTTTGATCCGAGTCTGTCAAAGTATTTAAAATAAAAATAAGCTACAACATTATTCAAGAAATACAATTCTGGAATGAAAATATCATAAACATTTTATCCGAATTTGTGAAGATCGGCTGACAAAAGCAAACCGTCAATTTAGCTGATTGACATCATGTTTCGTATTTTTGAATCACCTGCCCTTCTATTTTAGTGTTTAAGATGGCGAATCATATAGGGTCATTTAACACTTAGAGCATGTTAACGATCATAATCTAGATGAAAATGCTAATTAGCAGTATGTAAGCTTCTTTCAGATACAACAAAGGCTGGTTTTGCATGAAGGAGGTAGAAAATAAATGCAAATTAGAAGTTAATGTTGGTACTTGGTAGAATTTCAACTCTAATGCATATTCATCAACTATTAGAGCTAATCTACCTTCTGTGACAAAAATGTCATGCCAAGATTCAATTGGCATAAAATAATAAGAGGAAACTACCCAACGAAAAAAATAGTACAGAGGATGAGATGACATGAACTTGAGTTGTCAATGTACCTGGTGCCTGTCAAAAAATGGTGACAGGTTCAACCATTGAGATAAAGAAATCATTTCAAAAGTGTTCATAACGAAAGGGCCATTGGTAGTACTTCCACACTACTCAGTTACACCTTGATGCGGCATAATTCAATGAACAAGAACAAATTATGATTGTTATTATTCAAAGAACAACTGAATATATAAAAATGGAATTTCTCTCTAAATGCAAAAAACACTAACCACTACAGCCAAAACAACACAAAGAAGGGCAACAAAACAGAAGAGGCAAAAAGTAATACACAGTTTGTCAATGGAGCATAAATATTCTTCTACCTGTGGCCGGAAAAATATTCGAACTATTATGACAGACAGAAATCTAACCTCGGTTCAGGTTCTGATTTGAACCGTGGACAGGTTTACCTACAGCGATGGTAACTCAAATTGCTGGCCTGGCGAAAACTCGTCCGGCGTCCTACTGCTCTGCTCTCTAGGACGGCGTCCTACCGCTATGCTCTCTCGAACGCCGGCCTACTCCTCTTCTCGCTCGATGTCGCCTGACAATGAAGGCACGAAGTGGGGACCTGCAATTGACGCCGAAGCTGGAGCAGCTTTACCTCACCATCGCGTCAATTATGGCAAGAGTACGCCGCTGGGATTGAATAACGGGCCAATGCTCCCTCTGCCTGAAGTTTGGCTAGGTTTACGTATGGGTGGATTCCACAGACTGACGTATCATACCTTCATATAACATCAAATCCATCCAGATCAATTATAACCGATCTGGAATTATGCACGTATTTTTTCTTTTTCCTTTTTTCTACATGAGTTTTCTTTTTCCCCTTTTAGGACTAAGGCATGGATGTTGTTGTTGTTGTCGCATTTGTTAACATCGGCTTCGCAGACAACCGATGTAGAAGATTTAATAAAATTTCAAAATATACCCCGTTTCACTATTTAACATTGGTATAACAACCGCTGTGAAAAAATTATATAAATGGTAAAAAGACTCCATGTCAGTTTTTCGCATGTGTTTTGAGATAACACATGTAGATAAGGTGATGTAAAAGGCCTTTTTTCACTAGTGTTTCCACCAGAACTTCCCTTGCCCGGCTGCTTTATTTTCACTTTTTCTGCCATCAAGATCTTTCCTTTCTGACTGTACCTCTGGAGCATCAGTTGAGCCGGGATTCTCCGTCAGGAATTGTTCCCAGAACAAGTCATTTACTCTTGTGGGTGTCTTAGGAGCAACCCCTTGTACCGTTTCAGGATCTTGGTGTGGGCCCACCTCCGAAACCAGGTTCTTATTTGGCTCAGCATTAATGTCAATTCCTGGAGTCTTGGGTCTGCCATCGTCATCAAGCTGTGTGTATGATATGGCGGGGCTATCTGCACAGCAACTTGTAGATTCATCCAACTCAGTTCCTGAACTCTCATGGACCTGAACCATTTGACCAACATCGTGAAACACATTCTCCCAGAATACCAAAGACGAGTCTAATTGATCTAACAACTCCTTGTTGAAGGTAGGAAGAGTATTTTGGATGATGTCTTCCATTGGTCGATTGCCGTTAATGACACTTTCAGCATATAGGTAACTGCTTCCTGTAAGCCGTCTCTTCCTATAATGCAATGCCATTTGGGGAAACAGACTTAGCGCCAGCTCTGGTTTATCAAGCAGTTCAGCTAAGGAGGATAGCATACTCCTTTGTCCCTGCTCCACGTGCTGTAACTGTTCAGTCAACCCGTGCATTTGCAACTCAAGTCCCTGGTTTTCCTGCTTATGTCTTTGAAGTTCCAACTGAATAGACTCTTTTTCACGATTCAGCTTTGTGATGTCATCCTTGTACTCTTGTCTTTCAGATTCATTCAATGGAGATGAGGCCTGAAGATTAAGTGTAGAGTGACTATGAACCGGTTTTCTTCTGTGGATGTTCTTCATAAGTTGTGGCTGATCTCTAACAAAGTCATCATTTGCAAATTCCCATTGCTCAGGATCAACTTTCCTGAACCCCTACACAACAGAAAATAGGTATGCGAGGTTAATCGTTATCATCGTCATAACTACTAGGGGTCAGTATTATAGTATCAATCAACTTGGTTAATAAAAACCCAAAACCAGAAATTGAAGGGGGGGGGGAATACTGACGTAAGTATTCAGCTGTCTGATAAAGCTGGAGAAGTTGTTATGCTTGAAGTATCTGGGCAAGAGATCTCTCGAAAATTCTGGCGGGTTCCAAACAATGAAACTTCTGTTGCTCTGACTCCAAGAGACGATAGGGTCAGTTGAGGAGTTATCCACCATTTCATATGTCTTCGCAAGGAAAGGAGGAAATGCATTTGAAGCTTCATCCATTAAATTTGACAACACTCTGAATATCGCTCCCTCAAACTGAAATTTTGAAGATTAGATAAAAGCTTCAAAACACACTCAATATTCACTTCTACACAAAAAGATTTCTTCAGTTACAGTCAACCCAGAAGATCTCTTCAACCAAAACCCTGCAATTCACTCCCTTCTTACCAAAAGCCCATTTAAGGTCCTCTACTTTATCGCTAAGATCGCGATCATTGAATCTCCCTACCTCAATTGTAAGCTAAACCATAAAAAGAAACTCCAACAACATACGAAGGGACAAATCCCAGTATCCCACAAGAGGAATCACATGTGGCCACACAGTGCAAGATGCAACAATTACAGAAGCAAATTTAAAAAAAAAACGGGAATTAAATTTCTTTCAAACATATAACAAACATCAAAGTCGTTAACACAGGCCTCTTTGAAAAAATTCCACTTTTGGTCCCGTGACTATTATACCACTTCCACATTTAGTCCATTACTTTCAAATTATCCACATTTAGTCCGTGACCATTATCCCCTCACCACCCCTCGTCCTTCCAGCCAAAATTCAGCAAATTTAATGCAAATTTTAGCTATGAAAAAACAAATTTACTGCAAAGACTGATATGAAAAACCCAACCTTATATAAAATTTAATGCAAAGACTGATTCTGAGGCTGATAAATGGACTAAATTTGACGAAATTTTGGCCAGAAGGACGATGGGTGGTGAGGGGATAATGGTCACGGACTAAATGTGGACAATCCGAAAGTAAGGGACTAAATGTGGAAGTGGTATAATAGTCATGGGACCAAAAGTGGAATTTTTTCGGCCTCTTTCTCCCTGTCTTCACGCATAAGCATGTGTACTCATAAGTAATACTTCCTTCGTCCCTTAAAACTTTGTCAAGTTTGAGGTTTGTGCAGAGGAGAGAGAATTAATTGGAACCATAAATTCTTTACTTAAAAGGAAAAGTGACCAAGTTAGTGGGACAATCAAAAAAGGAAAGTTGAAAAAGTTTTAAGGGACGGAGGGAGTATTTTTTTTTTGCGAGGACTCACAGTAAGTAATCACTACATAAAAGAAAAAGGGTTTCTCAACAGTACTCCAGCCCAAATAAGTCTACATCAAAAAATAAAAATGAAAAGATAAAAAACTGATCAACGACACAGTTTCAGACAACTCATCAGTACAACTCAATATAATTATTACTGCCCATACTTGGAAAGATAAAAGAAAACATTGTAAATAATTAACCCAATGGAAATAGTTACAAGGATTGTTTCTGTGAATAATACTTCCGCCTAAACACTCTTATACAAGAAACTATAAAAGTGAACCTCACGGTGAGCAACAAATAATGAAGTACGGATTATAAAATGCTCAGAACTTTGAAGTACAGAGGTCACTGTTCACCTAACAGTGAACCGCACATCAAATATAAATAAAAAATATTAAAAGTAACTCTATGTGAAACATAAGTAGAGGCGTTCTCACATTTCACATCTACTATAAATAGATGAGGAGAGCAGACTACTTTCTCACCCGCAAGGCCACACATGGAAATACTTCCTTTTACACAAAAAATTGTATGTTTAGCTGGCTCTTCAGCATTCTTAGTTGCTAAAACTCCATTAGAAAAATCATATACTCTGTATATTCCAATATGTTATTGATATTTGATAAGATTAACATCGCTTATCTCCATAATAGCTGAGATTGTGGTATTACAGCAACTTGGCATAATTGTTTATTTCGCAGCCATGTTTAATAGTGTGAGTAGCTCAAATGTCTATATGATTATATTTGTGAATGATGTTTTGTAGCTACTCCAAGATAAGGGCAGACATATTCTTGATCAATACAATACGTAAACTTAGAAGTCCACATCATTCTGTTTTAAGAGAGACTCTTTAGCATCTTCTAATATCGGTCAAAAACACATTTATATTATTTATATACTACTCTTTTTATTTAGTTTTATTAGTCTTGCTTCTATCCTATGTATGCAAGAAAATACAATTAAAAAACCAAGGTAAACTTTTATCCACCAAATATTATAAAAATTGATAAACACGTGTAAAAGTAGTTGAAACAAAAGTTGAAGTGATATTTTTGAGAATAGATAGAATCGAAGGGTCTTATTCACAGACTAATGAAGAGTTCAAATATTAATGAGTCCATTGATATGAGGCGTTCTTTATTGGACAAGAGATAGATCAATTGTTAGCAATCTGTTTTGACTGGAAAATAAAATAACATTTCATTTAATTTACTACTACTACAACAACAACAATAACATCCAAGCCTTAGTCCCAAAAGATATTGGGGTCGGCTAACATGAATCGATACATGATATCACCAGCAAAAGGAAAATAAAGAAAATAAAGATAAAAAAGATAAGCTATTATAAAAAGATAATATAAAAAGAGATGAATATACATAAAAATGATAAAATAAAAAGGATAAAAATAATGTTTATATATATATATATATATATATATTTCATTTAATTTACTAACGGTAATTAATTCTGATTACATACAACAATTATTTCAAAAAATTCTATGTGATTGCATATTATGACAATTGGGTATTAAATTGAACTACAGGGTTGATATTAAAACTGATATCCATTTTGTTAGATTCAGTTGCGGAATGAACATAAACAATATGAACAGAAACAATTTGCTCGATAAATAAAATAAAATCTGTCAATTCCATATTAAAATTAAATTTTTAAATTTTGAATCAACATTCAAAACTTTAACAAAGCAAAGCCTGGAAGATTAACTTACAGATCCAACGCTTTTAGTTGTTTTTAAAGTTGTTCTTGCCAAATTCGAAGCTAACAAAAGACAGATACAAATCCCTTAGTTCCGTATAACAAATTGTGAAGAATCTATACAAACAGTAACAGTAAACATAGATGTACAGCCTGCTATAAGACCTTCATCGAACATATGATAAGACCTTCATCGAACATATGATGCACATATAGAGAAAACATATCAAGACAAGATCTAAAAATAGTACACCATATGAAACATGCATTTAAGCACAGAGCCTTACCGATCGGCCACTAAAGATGGTTTTACGATGTCCGATGTATGAGGGTGAGCTTTTTTATCCTTCAACTGTCGAAAGCTGTAGTAGACGGAGAGACTTTGTTTCGGATAGAAGAAAGAAGTGGTAGGATGATGTTGCCATCAAGGTGGCAATCAGTTATGTGCGGGGCAACGGGTATGCCGTAAATTATCGAGAAATTTCCGCGCGCCACCAAACTATCTAAAAAATATATCACACCTTCCGTCCCATTTAAGATTCTCTTGCCCAAAATGACACGATTATTAGGGATGGCAACGGCATGGATTATTAGGGATGGCAACGGCATGGTTAGGGATTGCGTATACCATTATCCGTTGGGTTATCCGTCGGGTACTTTTTATCCGCACGTAACGGTTTTCCCTGTAGATAACCGTTTTATTAAAAGATGATTTTTTTCTTCAAAATTAATATAAATCTTAAAATGATGATTAACTACTTATAATTGACCACCTAAATTAAAAAAAACAAAAAATAAATAGCATCAGAGATGAAGTGTGGTATGGATAAACTAGACTTGATGAGGAATATTCTCAAAAAGTTTCATCAAAATATTCCGCCGGGAATCGCCCCAAACGCCGGCGTTCGGACAGAAAAGTGCTGGACAGAAAAGTTATGCCGATTGAGACTTATGATGTTAATATTAGAGATGAGTTGAGGAGACGTTATTTGAGAAAAAGTCTTTGCCAACCGCGTGACTTTAAATTTCCACAAAGTGATTTTAATGGGTGCAACATATCATTCCAAAAACAATGGTTTTATTTAAATTTTATAGTTTTGTTTATTGCTATACTCGTGATGCATATGATTTTTTTCTAGACTAGTATATCATTTCTTTGTTATTGTGCCCCTGCGAGTCACGAGTCCTGGTTCCGCCACTGATTACAATCGTTTGAACCTAATATTCACAAATTGTATATGTCTAGATTCAAAATTATGAATCTCTTATCACATCAACATAAAAAGATTAATTCTTGTCTCGATAGTAAAATCTAAATATGAATCACAAAAACATTTAACTTTCAAAAATTCAATAATCATACCCCACCAGCATACATCTAAATTTAAGAAGAGTAATGTATACAAGTAACAAAATGAAAATGAAAAGTTTTTTCCTAAAATAATTCTAATAAAAAATATATAGACATAAATGTGACTATAAGTTACCATATGTAAGTTTTATGATCACTGCAATATAACATTTTAATAAAATTATAAAGACTAAATTTACTAGAGTCTCATTTTTGAAAATTTTTCCCAAAATAATGGTACTTAAATAAATAATTCTCAAAATATTGCGTGGTTAACAAAATCAATTGGCGGCTTAGACATTCGATCAACCACAAATCACGCCCAGCCAAACATAGGAATTGAATAATGTGCCCCATATAATAAAAAAATCCCTCTTTATTTTAAACTCCTGTAACTTTTTTATTTGTACTCGTATTGTTACAAAAAATATATCAAAATTTATAACTTTTTATTATTTTTCATATGACACCAATATTGACTATAAAAAATAAAAATAAAAAAATTAGCAATTTCAAAAAAAAATTGTTTTTTAAAGTATTGTAACTTTTTTTATTTTAATTCTGATCGTTACAAAGAATATATCAAACTTAATGTTTTTTTATTATCTTTCACATAACACCAATATTGCATATATAAAAATGAAAAAAATAATTTGACATTTTTATATATGCAATATTTGTGTCATGTGAAAGATAATAAAAAAATCATGAAGTTTGATATATTTTTGTAACGATCGGAATTAAAATAAAAAAGTTACAATACTTTAAAAAACAAAAGTTTTTCTGAAATTGCTAATTTTTTTATTTTTATTTTTTATAGTCAATATTGGTGTCGTATGAAAGATAATAAAAAGTTATAAATTTTGATATATTTTTTGTAACAATCCGAGTACAAATAAAAAAGTTACAGCAGTTTAAAATAAAGAGGGATTTTTTTATTATGTGGGGCCCATTATTCAATTCCTATGTTTGGTTGGGCGTGATTTTTGGTTGATCGAATGTCTAAGCCCCCACTTGAATTGACGGTTTTGTTAACCATTATTTTGTAATCACCGGATCTCACCAACTCCTCTACTATTTTCTCAATCTCGTCTTTTTGAGAATGAGAAGCTCTATACGGCTATTATTGCTTATGAACACTTTCTGGCTTTAATAATATGTGGTGTTCAACTCCTTTGGAAGGGGTAGTGATTTGGGTTCTTCAAAAACATCCTCAAATTCTCTTAAAAAATTCCCCAATTTCACAGATTCTCTAGCATTAGTGTCTTTTACCTTCACCCAGTATACCTCCTCAATTGGGCTAGGAAACTCTCCACAGATCATCTTATAGAGGCCGTGGTAGGAGATAACCTTACACTTACCATCACATTGAATAGAAATTTTGTGGGCATTCACATGTGACAGGAAGCACCATTTTGTTATAATCTAATTCAATAGGAACTAATGCCCTCAACCAATCCCCTCCCAATATTAAATCAAAATTTGTAGATGGTAGGACCCTGAAGTCATAATTGAACTGATGTTGCTGCATATTCCACTTAAATTTAGTCACCATTGCATTGCTCTCCAATTTTGATCCACTGGCTATCGTTACGTGTACAGGTTTGACAAGTTCTTTCACACATCCCAATCCATGTGCAGCCTTGGAGCTAATGAAGCTTAATGAAGCTCCGAAGTCAATTAGAATGTTTATTTTATGTTTACCCACCTGTCCCAGGAGCATCATGGTTGTGGGTCCGTGTTTACCTTGAGCAGCGCCAATAATCCTAGCGTATTCTACTTGAGAAATACACTCTCCACGATTTTTGGTAAGTTGTACGTTTTTATCTAATGGAGTCTTTGCCTCTTGATAATCATCCTTATTAAATTTAGTAAGGATTTTATCAACGTAATGGGATTGGCTTAGCGTTAGACCGTCAGGTCCTCTAATTATTTTAATCCCAAGGATTAAATCGGCCAGCCCCATATCCTTCATGTCAAATTTAGAATTTAACATGCTTTTGGTAGAATTAATCATTAGATTATTGCTACCCACGATGAGTATATCATCCACGTATAAACATAAAATGACATAGCCGTCTACCGTGCTTTTCACATAGACGCATTTGTCACTTTCGTTTATCTTAAACTCATTAATTAACATTGCATGATCGAACTTTTCGTGCCACTGTTTAGGGGCTTGTTTCAATCCATACAATGATTTAATTAATTTACAAACCTTCTTTTCTTGGCTTGGAACACGAAAACCCTCGGGTTGTTCCATATAGATTTCTTCGTCTATATCGCCATTTAGAAGAGCGGTTTTTACGTCCATTTGATGAACTTCCAAATTCCGCAAAGCGGCAATCGCTAGTATCATCCTAATGGAATTTATTCTCGTCACGGGAGAATACGTGTCAAAGTAATTATGGCTCTCGCGTTGCTTGTATCCCTTGATTACAAGTCTGGCCTTATACTTATCAATGGAACCGTCTGGTTTCATTTTACGTTTAAAAATCCACTTGGATCCCAAAGGTTTACATCCCGGAGGGAGATCAACCAATTTCCACGTGTGATTTTTTAGGATAGAGTCCACCTCACTTTTGATGGCTTCTTTCCACATAGGACCTTCAGTAGACGTCACGGCTTCCGTATAAGTCCGTGGCTCATTTTCTACCAAACATGTTAGAAAATCCGGTTCATTTTCTACCATACATGTTACAATATCCGATTCAAATTCTACCAGGTAGGTGAGAAAATCCGGTCCGAAGGATTTTTCGACTCTAGCACGTTTGCTACGTCTGGGTTCGGGTTCTTCTCCGGATCCCTCGCTAGTATTTTCCATAGCTACGTCAAATGTTCGTTTTGACGTGCTAGGTCCTTCGTTGGACTTGCATGGAAATACATCTTCAAAGAATGAAGCATTCCTTGATTCAATTATTGTGTTTTTATGTACATCCGGATTATTCGAATCGTACACTAAAAACCGATAAGCACTACTATTTTGTGCATATCCAATAAAAATACAATCCACCGTTTTTGGACCTATTTTTATTTTCTTAGGTGTTGGTACAAGCACCTTAGCAAGACACCCCCACACTTTTAAATATTGATAGGAAGGCCGTCTGCCTTTCCACATCTCGTACGGAGTTTTATCAAATTTTTTCCGGGGAACCTTATTTAAAAGGTAATTGCTTGTCAAGATTGCTTCGCCCCACATATTTTGTGGCAAGCCCGAACTTACTAGCATCGCATTCATCATATCTTTCAATGTGCGATTCTTTCGTTCGGCAACACCGTTTGATTGAGGTGAATAGGGTGCGGTACGTTCGTGTACTATACCCACACTAGCGCAAAAGTCACCAATTGGTGCTTCATACTCACCACCTCGATCACTCCTAACCGTCTTAATCCTTCGATTAAGTTGGTTTTCCACTTCATTCTTATAAAGAATGAATTTATCGATTGCTTCGTGTTTATTTTTTAATAAATAAACGTAGCTATAGCGAGTGCTATCATCGATAAAGGTAATAAAATATTTATTACCGCCGCGTGTTTGTATTGATTTAAAATCACAAACGTCACTATGAATTAATTCAAGTGGTTCCGTTTTTCTTTCAACCAATTTGAAAGACGTTTTCGTTAGTTTTGCCTCTACACAAACTTCACATTTGTGCTTCACATCAATTGTGAATTTAGGAATGTGCTCCATGTTAATTAATCTACGTATAGAATTAAAATTAACATGTCCTAGTCTACCATGCCACACATTGGAAGACTCAAGCAAGTAAGCAGAAGGGATTTTATTATTATTATTAATAATAGTCATTACATTGAGCTTAAAAAGCCCATCACATGTATACCCCTTGCCCACATACATTCCCGACTTAGACAAAACCAGTTTGTCCGACTCAAAAATCATGCGGAAGCCATGCTTGTTCAACAACGAACCGGAAATCAGGTTTTTGCGTATTTCAGGAACAAACAGCACTTGGTTGAGAGTCAGCTCTTTGCCCGAAGTCATCTTCAGGACCACCTTGCCCACGCCTTCAACCGCGGAATGAGCCGAGTTACCCATCCACACTTTCTCACCATTTGATGGCTCAAAAGTTGTGAATAACTCCCGGTTTGAGCAAATGTGTCGGGTTGCACCGGTGTCCACAAACCACTCCTTGGAATTGGATCCAACGAGGTTGACTTCCGTAACCACAGCCGCTAGGATGATGTCTTCATCCTTTTGCCCACCTCGCACCAAGTTGACTTGAGAGTCCCTCTTCTTCTTGGGTGCCTTG